AAAAAAAAGATCAATCAAATACATATTCTTGTTTAATATATTCTTATTTAAAAAGTTTGAAGTAAAAAATTCAACAATTTTATATGTAAATATTTGTATGATATTAAATATATGCATCTGTAAAAATATAAAAAAATAAATATATATAATTAAAAGTTCCAGACTTTTTTGGTCCTACATTTTTCAAATTCCAAATTATTTGTGTGCTGTACATTTTTTCCAAACTACTCATGTACACTCGAATTTGCTAATAGTTACAAGCTTTGAGGATGGAGCTTGCATCAAAAAGGAAAGCAGGGGGTTGCTTGTGGCTGTTCCATCTATGATACACTGAGAATGCCTTCTCAGAGATAAATAGCTTATCAAAGACAATTGTTTTTGAACTATTAAAGTCATGCAACAGAGACATGGTAATAAGAGATAAATTTGCAATGGAACCAAAGTATGAAACAATCTCCAAAAAAAAAAAAAAAAAACAAGATGAGAAATTCTATATGATGAAGAATAGGATCATTACACTGGAAACCCTTATAAATGGGACTACACCCTACAAAATCACACATGGCTACCTAAGATGATAGCTTCATGTGCTCATGAGGAAGATATATACAAAACAAAGACATCCAAACACATGCAACATAGAATAGTTAAAGGAGCAATACTAAAGAGAATAGAATGGTGAAGAATGGCTGAGGATTGAAGAAGGAAATCAATTAATCAAATAGACAGCAATTTATGTAACTTCTACCAAGTATAAATAAGGGGCTTGAGACTCTTTTAGTAAGGTAAAAACAATTCTACGTCTGTTATATGTTCAGCCATCCTGTTTTGTTGTGGTGTGGATGGATATGATATAAACAGTTTGATGTGTACAGAATAAAATAAAATAATAGAAAACATTTCAGAATAAGATAAGATAGTGCTAAAAGTTCCTAGTACCTGAACTGTTCAAAATTTGGAAACAGATACAGGAACAGGTTTGTAGCCATATTAGGTCAAGTCAATGAATTAGCGACTTTCAACATTTTTTTAATGTGTAACATAAGAGATTCTATAGGATTAGGAAGGAAAGACTGATAGAAAACCTGGTCCTTGTCCACCAACACTGCACGTACACCTTCAGAAAAATCATTTCGAAGCGAAGACCTTGTAGCGATGCGATATTCAGCTTTCATTACGCCACTTAACTAAATACAACCAATTATTGGAACAATAGAACACATTTTTAAAATGTATAAGCCTTGACAATGGACCATAAAAAATTGCAATAAAGTTGAAACGGTAAGAGAGAAACTTACTTTGCATAAAGCATTGTCACTTTTTCCAAGTGCAGAGGCAACTCTAGAAAAATGATTTTGTGTTAAACAAAGGGAAAAAGGAGCACCTTTTCTGATCCCTGCAAGTGCATCAGTAGCCCATTCTGCCACTGTGGACAAATAAAAGATAGTATGAATTATAATATGCATATCAATAACAGAAACCCACATATTGTATGTCTCATACACTCCAATGAGAAATTATTGTATTTCCCCTACTTATCAAGGGCAATCTTGTAGTTTTGTCTTTATATCCCAATGAAATTGGTCTCATGGAAAGAGAATCAACTTGCTAAGTCCTTTTTAAAAATGACCAACTTGTATCCTGTAATCATTCATGGAGAAAGAGAGACGAGAGAGAGAAGAGAAGAAGAGGAAGATATGATTGAGAGAAAAAGAAGTAGGAACTTTTAGCACTATCTACGTCTGTTACAGATGCATATATTTAATATCATACAAATATTTACATATAAAATTGTTGAATTTTTTACTTCAAACTTTTTAAATAAGAATATATTAAACAAGAATATGTATTTGATTGATCTTTTTTTTTCTGTATTACTGTTGGTGTGAAAATTTAAATAAATTCTTATGCAACATAATTCACTCAATCAAGTGATTGAGTTTTTATTATTTTGGGTAAGGCCCATTTAGGGAATCATACGGATTGTTCCCCTTAATTACATCTCCACAAGAAAGTAGAGGACACCTTTTGATTCTGACTTGGAGAAATGAATGCATAGAACAAAAGAAAAAGGGCAATATAGTAATTAAAAAGAACTTTTCATTTGCTTTTCTTTTACATCAAGTGTACAAGAATGAGAACAAAGAAAAAGAAAATACAATTGAGAAACTATACAACAATGCATTTCTCTTTTCTTTTCGATACAAAGAAAATTTCCTTCTCACTCCTTTCTTCACAATAAGTTGTAGTCAATCAGATGAAATTCTGATTGTAGACAACCTTAATCCTTAGATTTTAGCATACAAAAAGGGAACTGTAGTCAATCAAATAGAATATTTGATTGTAGACGATTTTCATCCCTCTGTTCTTCACTTTCATTTGAAGGGAACCATAATTAGCCTTTTAGAATTAGATTGTAGATGGTTTAATCCCTAACTTTGTCTTGAAAGAAGGACCATTATCAACCAAGTAGAGGCACCTG